TCTTTGGCGGGGTTGAAGACAGATAATTATAGTTTTCTTAGTTATGATAAAAGATAGATTAAATATAAAACTTTAGGCTCACAAAATATTGGAATTTTAATTGGTGCTAGATACTTGTTTTGTATATGTAACTTCACAATGTTAGAGTTAAAACCTTCTTTTATTTAGACAGAAAAGAAAAGATGATGTTTAATTCCTTCTTCTATGCTGTGAATGTTTTATTATCATTGGTTAATAAATAAGATCCTTTAGCCAATGGCAGGACAGAATATAACTAGACAGGAAACCAAACTGAATGCATAGAGAAAGAAGGTAGAGTCAGGGAGATGCCATGTAGCTGCTGAAGGATAAAGATGCCAGAACACTATAACCTTACTGATAGACCACAGCTTAAGACACAGAAATGAATTGATTTAAGATATAAGAATTAGCCAGGAAGATGCCTAAGGTATTGGCCATGTAGTTTTGTAATTAACATAGTTTCTATGTGATTATTTGGGTCTGGGTGAGCGGGAATGAAAGAACAGTCTTCAGCTACAAGCAAGTTTCTAAAACTTCTGATTTTAAACTCACTTCTAGGTTATTTTATGCCTAGACCCTCAAAGTTCTTGTTGCATATACCCACATTTGTTAGGATTTTCTGTTTTGAATTGGAATGACAAAATGTATACCCTTGACTCTGTGAGATGCTGAAACAAAAAGTTTCTTTGAGAATGGAGTTGTGGTTTGATCTCATTTATGTGACTGTTTTCTGTGTAGTAAAGATACAAAATATACCCATGTGTAAATAGAGACTATACTTTCTTTCCTCCATCACCTAGACCTTAACAATCACACAGAAACTCTATTAATTACAACAGTGTTTGTCTAATGACTAAGGCATATTCCTAACTAGCTCTTATATTTTGAATTAACCCATTTCTATAATTTTGCAGCTTACCACAAGTCTTGTAGTTTAAAGGTAAGGTTTTAGCAACTTTCTTCTTCGGCAGTTACATGGTGTCTGCCTGACTCTTCTTTATCCCTGCATTCATTTTAGTTTTTCCACCTACCTATATATTCTGCCCTGCCAAAGGCTAGAACAGCTTCTTTACTAACCAATGGTAATAAAACATTTTTGTAGAATCCAACAAAACCTATGAATTGTATGACACTGATGATTATCTACAGATTATTTACATTTTAATTTATATTTTAGTTAAAACTCTCAATCAATGATAATACTAGGTCTGTAGTAGAAAATCATAAGAATATGAAATAGAAAAACTGTGTTTTCATTATTTTTCTTAATCTGTCAAGCTCTCATTCCTATAAAATACTATAATAGTTTCAAAGATATATTTTCCAGGCTATAAATATAAATTAATATGCTTACATGTCTTATTCTCTTCTTTTTACATGTAATTCTGGTATGTATGCATGTATTTATTTGCATAAATTTGATGTGTGATCTAACCAAGGACCTCATATATGTTCTTTATACTTCCTGGCAAGAAATTAAAAACTGATGAGCCTGGTATATACTAGAAGCAGAGAATCATTGAATATTCAAAATGAGTCATTTCAACATAGAATGCTATGGGAGGGAAAAAGGTTCAGCATGTAAAAAGCAACTGTGCTGGGGTCAGAACTTAAGTCAGTGAAGTGTTTGTTGTGGAAACTTGAGGATATGTGTTTGACCACTAGATTCTATAAAACAGTATGTCTTGGATTATGCTAGTAATTCCAGGACTTAGTCCACCTGGCACATATGCACCACCCTACACATGAGCATACACATGCACATACACACACACAAACACAAGCACAAAGAGAGAGCAGAATGATTTAATGCGATCCATTTCAAATATCCCTCAGTATCACATATATAAGTTCTCTATATATAAAATGCTTACATGCTTAAGTAATTATGAGTGCTTTATATATTTTTTATATTGGAATAATTCATATTTGAATACATGTAGTATCACAGCAACATTCACTGCCTTCTGAACTATGTCACATATTTTATATTTTAAATAATTTCTCATTATATGTGCTTGTACTATTCACATTCATGCCATGACTATTGACAGTGCTATCTAAGTTTCAAATGAGAATGTCTTTTATTGCATTGAGACACATCTGCTCCTGGCAGCACCAATTACTTCAAGAAGATGATGGGCATCAAAGAGGCTCCTTATGGCATTGGTTAGTCATTAGGACAAGTCTTGCCTGAACTGCTTGATGAACTGGACATGCAGGACCCACAGAGAAATGACTGCTGAACTTGCCTAAAGGTGAGATGATCCTTTGGAATTCCTGCTTCATGAAAGAGTCTATGAGACATTCTGCAGGACGCAGAAGAAAGTGACTGAAATTTCCTTCTTCATGGAAAAGTTTGTCAGATACTATAGGCTTCAAGCCTGAAGATGGATGCCCCAATGGTACAGAAGAACTTTGGGTGACTGTCCAGGCAGTAAGATGTTTCTGTCATCTCTAGAGTTTTGGAAGTTGCTTACAATGTACTTCCTGTTTACTTATGTAATACTATATTCTTCTGGAGTCTTTGATGGAGTTGAAGAATTTATAGTGATAGTTATAGTTTTCCTTAGTTATGATAAAAGCAAAAGCAGATATAAATGTTATAACTGATACCTGTTTTGTTATATGTAATTTTAGTATGTTAAAATTAAAGCCTTCCTTTTTATTTAAAAAATAATATTCAAACATTCCAATTTTTTGTATGCATATTATTTATGGAAATGGTAGTTCCATGATGTGGAGACCTGAAATTATGAGCCTATTTCCACTTTGACCAAATGTTAGAGAGTTGGAATTTATATCTAGTTCCTTAAAGATGATTGTGCTTCTACCTCAAACAAAGGTCCCACCTAGTTGTTGGTCAGAGAGCTCTGCTCTCTCAAGGTCAACAGGTGTGATTAATAACCAGACCTTGTACTTCAGGAATAGAGAAGTAGATCTGTTCCCACCTCAAGCAAAAGTCTAAGAATCCAAATAAGTTCCAGTTCCCTATATGCAAATAACTTGGGATTCCATCCAAGAATTGGTTTTGCCTACAGAAAGCTTTGGTCTAGGGTGTGAGCATGACTTGGTGACTTGTTTTATCCTAGCAACAGAATGATTAACTATGATTGTAGCCCATGACTTACAATTGGTATTGGTATGTTTGGTTTTTTTGTTTGTTTGTTTGTTTGTTTTTGTATCATGTTAATGCAGTCTTTTGTCTTACTCCTACCTTTTGGGGTCAGGGTATTTTAAGCAGTTGGAAATTAAAAGAGGGCAAATTTTCAGTACTCACTGGAATTTCCTCCTGATTTTATCCTATATGTTTCTGTTTTATTATTTCCATTTGTGTCTTCATATTCTTTACTACATTTCTAATCTCTATGCCTTTACCATGATGACAGGCATTTTTGTTGTGACTGGTTCCTGACACCATCATGAGTATGTACGTCACAAGAAAACCGATGGTGTATTTATTTACTTCTACTGTGCTTGAGGCAAATTCTCTCGTTCACTACTGCACGTGCCGGACTCATTGGCCATGAACTTTCAGGTAGTCTTTTGTTTTTCCTTGCTGTCTCACCATAGATGTCTTGTGATTGCAGATACACTGCCATACCCAGCTGGTCATGGATTATGGAGGTAAAGTTGCATGTGCAATTTTCTGTATATCCACCCTCCATTACCTTTATCTGAAATTTCTTTTGGTCCTAGA